AGGGATCTTTAGTATGTGGTGAGGTTTATGATTTGAAGTAGCTAAGGTCTAGATCCCGGGAAAGCAAATGGTGCGTTCCTGGGAGAAATTGCGGTGAAAGCAAAGAACTTCCGGTTGATGTTGATATGGCCATGTTTATGTGCACAAGTATGGATTGCAAATTAAAGCTACATGAAAGTGAAGGGAAATCGGTCTTTGGATTCAATTCAATCAGCTTCAGCATCAGGTGAGTGTAAAGGGGGTAAATTCTACGCCTTACGTATTTTCAAGTAGTTACCTTACGCATTTTAAGTATTTTGTGAAGTGGTTGATATGGTTGTTTATGCGTTTGGTTGATGATACGTGAATTGTTTGAATTATGACTTGAAGTGAATGTTTATTATTTACTTTGAAATTTTATGAGTATAAATTATTGTTAAAGTTTAAGAACAAGTTCTTTTTAAGAAGTAACTCACCTGCAAGAAGGTGAAGTCATTTTAAGTGTTTTTAGTCACTAGCGCCAGTCCGTTGCCATTTGAGATCTTTGAGGCAGAGCAGCAGTTATGCTCTTGAGATATTTAAGTTGAACAGCAGTTATGCTCTTGAGAATCGTGGAAGAAGAGCCTTCCACGATAAGTTTAAGTTTAAGGAAAGCCTGGAGGGCTTCTCATACGTATGAGTTGGGCAACCAGACTAGCTAGTGAGGGATCCCCGTGTCAGTCAAGTATTTAAGTAAAGATTTGAGCTTTAAGAGAGGAGAGTAACTTCAACTCCCTCAAGGTTTAAGAGTTAAGATTTTAAAATTTGAAGTACAAACAACTTCCACCAGTTAAAGTTAGGTGTTTAAGTAAAGTACTCGTGTATTAGAAGTATTAAAACGTAAGGGTGTAGGCTGACCCCAACTCACTCACCAGTTTGAAGAGAAAGAGCTGGATGAGCAGTTAGAGAGACGATTCGAGGGAAACCAGCTGGAGGAGGACGGTACGTTCATCACAAAGGATGTCTAGTCAAGGTTATCAGTCAGCAGCAGCATTTGAGATTAATTAGTTATTATACTTTATAATTATGAGTATAGACTGGAGATCAGGTAGAGACTTTTAATGTCTTAGTTTGCCGAAGTGTCAGGGACTCGAGTTTAAGTAATGCCAGTTGTTTTCAATATTTATTAAAGTTATTATGAAATGTTTTCGCTATTTTTCTAAGTATTTTTATTTCTTATTTTATGTCATGATTTATCATGGGTATTTTGGTAAAAGTAGTGTCCGGCCGAACTAGGGTGTTTCAGGATCAATGAAGAGGGTTACATAAGAGAGAAGTCAGAGCATTTCCAGAGAGGACAGAGTTTAAGTGTTGTAGAGAGATAATGTTTTCCAATCAATCCCCCTTCCTAGGTGGAGTAAATGTTGTATTAATAGCTCCCTTGGGTTGGTGAGCAAAACATGGTGACAAGACGAGAGTGTTAGAGCAGATTCACTGACCTCTCAGGCGATATTTGTGCACTTATAACTTGGGTGGCTTGTCTTCCGGCGGTAACAAACGCACGACTGGACGAGTTAAACGTGGTTGCGGCCGCGCGAGTGGATGGCTAAGTGTGGCTCTGTGCGATTCACACGCTCTTTGTGTTCTTTACCCCAACAATTTCTATGCTTGTGATTACTATATCACAAACACTTATTTACTCTTTTGATTGCCATGATATAAATATTTATTAATGACCAAAACCAAGTAATTTTGCTTCGATAAATAAAAAATTAAAGAAATAAATGCCGTGTTTCGTAAAATAATATTTGTTTGTGCTTTTCCGTTAATGCTCATCAACTACATTCTTTGGATCTAGTCTTTGGGCTTCTTTTCTGCACTCTGGTCGGGACCTGTCACAATGTTCTCTTGTCCCGCCATAAGGCAAAATCATTGTAAATCCATGATTGCTGCTTGTCTGGCATTAAGGGGTCGTTTGGAAGTTGTGATTTCAAATGGTGTATTGAGCTAATTCATGTATTTGTGAGATTAAGTCATTTTTTTAGGTTATATTGAACTAGAATAGATGCATTCACTTTTTGGAGGCCCCCACCACAATCACTCAAAATTGAGGGATTGTGAATCTCTACTTTTTGTTGAGATTGTTCACAATCACTCAAATTAACTTTTATGCCTTTATAACAAAAACACAATCTAAACCTCCAAACAAAGTATTTGTCTAATACATCAATTGATTCAATACATCAAATGATAATACACTAATTGACCCAATACATCAATTTGAAGAATCACAACTTCCAAACAACCCCTAAAATATGCTCTCATTCGGTTTCGTATTCTAGTAACCTCGTTCGCTATAATGTCTACTCCTAAAAATAATGTAAAACTACATTAAAAGACATTAAGAGTATACAAATACTCCCTGAAGTTATAAAAACGCATAAATCTACACAATAAATAAAAGCCAAATGAGAAAACTTGAAGCCCCATTTCAAAATTCCTGCATCCAGAGTGAAAGTAGGAAGGATATTTTGGTCTTCACAATTACTTTTTTTTATTCATTAAAAAGACACTTACTAGGATTCGAACCATGACCACTTTAAAGAGAAGCAAAGATCATAACCAATCACACTAAGTACATTTGTTGTATCTTTTTAAATTAAAAACATATAATCGCAGAGAGAAAAAAACCCTTCCCCCATTTCAAACTCCCTGCTCCAGGAGCGTTTGTAGGAAGGGTAGAATAGGGAGTGTCAATTTTTTTCTTTTTCCTATGTGGAACGGACCAACTTACCGTACACATGCGGATTTATACAGGTCAAGGAGTGTCAATTTTTTTCTTTAAGTCCTTTTATTTCTCTGTGGTGGTAAAATATATATGAAAAGGCAAAAACAATACTCTTTTTATTGCTAAAAAGAAAAAAAATTTAATAATAAACTAATGCATGGATTCTAATGGGCTAACCGCTAATCATAAAATAAAAGAGTTGAATGGACATGACCTCATGGGATTTGCCCATCAAGTAAAACAAATGAACATCATGGGTTTGCCATTCTAAAACAAGCTATTTTCTCTAGCATAATATATATTATGCTATTATTTTATATCTTAGTGGCTAAAATATAATGTATTTTAAAGTTATTCAATGGTTCAACCTCAACCAACCCAATTAGTCCAATTTTTATCATTTCAAATATATATTATGTAATTATTTGATATCATAATGATTAAATTATAGTGTATATTATAGGGAATCGTTTGGTATTTGTTAGTAAAAAACTAAACATAAAGATCTATTTGATTATTTTTAACATTAAAACGATCCTAAACATTTTTAGTTTTCTTTCGAAATTCTATAGTTTTATTCCCGAATCAGTGATGTGCAAATGGCGAATTGCAGTCATCTCTTTTCTTTCATTATTTTTTATTTTGAAATAGAAAGTTTAAAAGTAAAGAATAATTAGAGTTTGGCATGGGTCGGTCAAACATGCTGAATTTCAAGTTTTGGCTCGTTTTGATCAAGTCTAATTTTATAATCACATGGTTCCCTGATACACGATAAAAATCTCAATCCAAACCAGTTTGGCAATTGGGTCTGTGTTTACCACCATTTTCTAGAGATACAGGAACGGTGGTTCCTATCCCAAATCGTGTTGTTCATTCTTGATTTCTTTAGATTTTATCATGGCTTGGCAAAAAACCAGAAAGCACAATGATGACAAGATGAAAGTTTTATAAAGCAAATTAATCGGCCAACGGGCCGAGTAAAAGCTAGCAACGATTGTGAGCTGCTCATTTCCCGAAAATCGGCGGGATAGGCAATTTTTTATTCGATTTTCTGGAATTCGATTTCTATAAAACTTACTCCACCTCATTATATTACCAGATTCAATATTGTTTCACAAGGTAACAGGTACTTGATTTTGGTTCATAAGGCTGATTTTTGATTCGTTGCATCATTCATGTCTCTTTCCTACTAAAATTCACTATTTTTATCACGTGTTTCCCAAAAAAAAAACTATACAACAATAAGCTATACACCCCATTACATTAGCAAATTTCATACCTCACCTTCCTCCGGTCAAATGGCCGGGGCCACGCTAGTGAGTGATTATGAGTGAATTGAATGTTAATCACATGACAAAATGACTAAAGATGCATCGAAATAGAAGTAATGTTGTTAAGAAATTGCAAACACAAATTTCAAGTGTCATCAAATTATCTTACAATTCCGTTTTTCCTTATTACCAAGCAAATAACTACTCAAAATCATGTAACTCACTAAACGCTAGTGATGACACTTGTGTTGAGAAGTTTTCATTCCTCGGCCTAAAAATAAAAGCAACATTTGTGAAATGAGATCAAATGTGAATATGTAGTTTTCTTGTTTAGCATTTGTATTATTTGTATTTCAGTAAATAAGCCATCATTAACGTATGGAAGGAATTTGAGAGACTGCTAGATTAGAAGAAGAAGAATATTGTTGAGAAGAAAAAAGTCTCTTGGCAGGCAATCGAGAGAAAGTGGGGAGCTTTGGTGGTATTGATTGAAAATTTGGTTCTTGTTATCTCTTCTAAACTTGAGTTGGGTGAGTTCAAGGTAGGGTAGAGGTTTGAAATTTTAGATACTGCATCATTGTTAAGGGTTTGATTGTCACCCAAAGAGAATCACCTTGATTAAAATAAGATCAAATTAGAACATATATCTCAAAGGAAAGCCTCCTGCTAGTAGGGAAGTAACACATTGCACCATGTCCATACCTAGTTAACAAATATAATGTATCATTTATATTTCTACACTTACTTTGAATTTTGCAATTCTTGGCCCTGTTGATTTGCGCCAAATCAAGATCTAACAATCTTCCATGACAAAGTAAAGTTTCTCTCTTCGTATTCGCTAACCTGGTTTTCAATAACCAAACTTCGATCTTTTACTGTGATTTTCAATTATTATAATAAATTTATTATGCATGCAACAAATATTTAGCAATATATTGCATGAGTAACTAAAGTGTATCAATTATAGATGAGCAAAATAACGCATCTAAAAGAATCAAATACCATCTATATCTTAAAAACATGTTTACACTATATCAAGAATTTCATATATGATTGTCCAGAGATTCTCTGACTCGGATAGATTTTCCCGAATCACATATAGACAAACCACAAACCGCTTATTAAATAATATATATAATTTTGATCAACCAACCAGCTTTGGGTACGCTCTCTATCTCTCAACTGAAGCACGTAAGGAGTCTTGGAAAATCTCCCATTCAAGCCGCCACATTGAGTTAATCCGATTGCCATACTTGTAACCCTTTTCTATCTTTCGTCTCTATGGTTTGCGCGCTCCAGATGCTTCTAACCATCGTTGTACTGGTAGCCTGGTTCTTTTCCTAAGCAGTCCCTAGACCCTTTCCTCCAGCAGAGGCTGGTTTTCTTGTAAAGTAGCAGAAGAATTATCATAGTCCACACTCTTCCCCCACACCACGAGGTAAAGCCCCGCCACTATGATTGCTGCCCCAATCACCCTACATCAGGCCAAAACACAACTCAGCTTCATAATCATGGAGTTCACAGGATGCAGTAAGACTGACAGAGAGATCGAGAGAGTCGAATTTAAACCTTCCAAGGAACATTTCCTCATCCAAGAAGATGGAGCTCATAATGGCCACCAGAACCATACACAAGGGATTGAATGCTGTCACAAACACTGGACCTCTTTCTCTCATCACTATCCCTTGTATGTAAAACAGCAGCCCTGAACACACCACTCCCTACATAAACCCCATCACAATACCAATTAAGTTGCTTTCCTGCTTTAGCCCAAGAGACAGAAACAGAACAAAAGGGTGAAGTGAACAAAAGGAGCAGCACTACTTACACTATAAACAGCAGCCAACAACTTGGTGTCCCATCCGAGCGCCCAAGCTTCCGGCCTCCCCCACTCAACCAAAAGCGCCACAATCCCACCTTCAATCGTGCCCGCGAGGCAGATCAGTGCCGTTAGAGATAGATCAGCTGGATACTCCTTCAATGTGATCGCCTGCACCCACAGGATTATCTCATCACTCAATTTTGTGATAGGGAGGCTGGCTTCCCTTCAAAAACATGTTAGTGTACAGAATTAAGGAGCGAGCGAGCGAGGTACTGACTTGGAGGATTACAAAGCCTGCCCAGCTGAAGCAACCCACTGTCATCATCAAACCACCCTTCATGAAGCTATGGGACTCGGCCACTGTTGCACTGCTACCACCACCAGCAGCAACATCTTGCTCAAAGGCGGGGCCTTTGATCAGGGTCATCACCATCGCTCCTGCCACCGTTGCTATTGTTCCGAACACCTTTGCCTTGCTGTGAATTGATTTCATTCTCACTTTCTCTAACCTGCAGCTCTATTGTTATTAGTATTAATCAGAGTTCAAAAATGCGTAATTCTGCTTACACCTAAGTGCTAAGCAGCGACAAAACGATTCAATTAGACTCTAGAGTCTAGACAGAGAATTAGGTGTTCATAATGCGTAGGGGCGCCTAGGAGAAACTAGACACGATTAATTCACTCCAGGCTATTAATTGAATTTAAACACGCTTAACTGGGCTAGCGATCTGAGGTTGATATTCTCCTAACTACCAATGCAACTGAAGCACAAGACTTGCTATTAGGAATGAGATGGTGCACCGTGCACCATTGAGTGTTGTTACAGAATCATTGGTAATTAGTGAGTAGCATGAGCTTCCTAGGAGTGCAAGAGAGGGAGAGCTTCATGATGAAGAATTCGAGTCCGGGGAGGAGATTGTTTTGAGGACGATGAAGATGAAGTGGTTGCTGGATGAACCTATTTGGATGATGATGAATGAACTAATTTGTAAGTGCTTTTTTTCCCCCACTCTTAAACCTTGGTATTACTATTTGTTCAAGTAAACTAGCTGCTAATGTATAATTTGCGAAAGAGCTGATGGAAATTGTGACTACAATATGAATTACCCACCCGATGATGAAAGCCATGAGGAAGGTGAGAGCAGGGAGAATGTTGACAATGGCGGCCGCAAATGTTGCTGTGGTGTACTTCATTCCCAGGAAATACAAGTTTTGGTTTATCACTGGCCTACGAGTAACAACAAAAACAATATAAAAACAAAAGCAGCAGTGTACATCACGACGAAGGGAATTTTTGGCCAAAACCAAGACAAGAAATTAATTAATTACTCGAGCAAGCCGAGGGCTGATATCTTGGTGAAGATGGAGCGAGTCATCTCTGGCCTGGATCCCCTGTTCCTCACAGCACAATCAAACAAACGTTCAATTAGCGACGGTTTAATTTTGGTCTTTAGCGACGAGAAGGTGCGGAGAAAGAAGAGGGGAACCGCCGACCTGTCGAGGAGGAGAGCGAAAGGGGAAATGAGGAGGGTTGCGACGGCGTGGCGATATACGACGAAGACGTAATTGCTCATCCCTTCGTTCAGAGCTACCTTTGAAATGACGTCCATCCCTGCCGAACCTACTTGAAGCATCACCACCGCGATTACTGGTTTCATCTTCTCCAGCCATTCTGCCGCCGCCATTGTTGCTTTCCTCTTCTTCTTCTTCTTCTCTTACTCGGGCATCGTTTGGATTTTAATCTCCGCTTCCTTTCCAACGCTCTCTTTAACCTTTTTCCCGTCTACGTTCGATGTGTTCTAATTCTTTTTTTTTTGGTCGCACGATGTGTTCTAATTTGGTTAGGAGATTTACACTTTGTTTCTTGAGAAATAATTAAACCAAGCAATTTTGCGGGCACCAACCCGCAACTTTTGGAAAATAATTTCTCGCAAGCAATACTGTTTGGTTTCGGTTAATTACTAAGAAAAAAAAACATAATAATTTTTTATTTTTTATTTTATATAATATTTATTAATAAAATATAATACTGTAGTGAACGCTCTCTACTTCGGGGGGGGGGGGGGGGAATTCGCTCTCGGATTCTCTCAAACTCGGACTAGGGTTCGCGATGACGGGCGTCGCTGACGGAGCCTCATCGGGCGCCGTTGGTGGCGGCCGATCGTGGGCTTCGCTATTTGGTGTCTCTAAGGATTCAAAGCTGGAGTTCTATGAGCCGGAAATGGTGGATGGATCGATTAGAATTCCAAAGGCGGTGATGGAAGAGGGCGCTCGTCAGTGGGAACATAGTTTAGTTGGGCAATTCCTGGGTGCTCCGCCATCGCTAGCGACGATTCGATTTTGGGCGAACTGGTTATGGGGTAGAGAAGGTGAAGTGAGTGATAATTCGGCAATTCTTATCTGGGTTCAGCTTTCAGGGCTCCCTGCGGAGCTCTCGTCGAAGGAGGGCCTAGGTCGAGTTGCTAGTGAAATTGGGAAACCTTTGTGGATGGACCAGCCTACCACGAAGAGGGTAAAGGTTGGTTGTGCTAAGATTTGTATTGAGGTGAGTGCTAAAAGCAAGCTAGTTGACAGAGTCAGTATCAAGCCAGACGATATGGAGGAGATGTTTGTGAAGGTTGAGTATTGTCGTTTGCCTCCTTGTTGTGAATCATGTGGTCTGTTCGGGCATGACTGCGCTAAACCTAGTGGTCCTACAAAGAGAGTGTGGAGGAAGAAAGTAGTAACTGATGCTGGGATTCCAGAGCAAGTGCACGCTAGTATTGTTGTAGCGGAGGAGCAACCAAGGAGAGAGGAGGAGCAGGAGGGGCAGCAGGTGGTGGAATCAACCCCACCCATAACTCCTAGTGCCCTTCCATTGCAAGAAGAGTTTAGCAAGGTCATTAATGGGGTTAAGTCTCCAAAAGTATGGAAAACTCTGCCAGAAGTGAGTCGGTCAAATGTGTTTGAGGTATTGGCTCAGAAGGAAATACAATTGCAGTTCCCGCCCCTCCGGAGGAGGGACTAAGGAGTCAGAAGGGAGCTGTCAAAGCTCCTTTAACCTCATGATTCTTACTTGGAAGTCGAGGGGCTTTAATGCCCCTCACAAGCACAGTGCTGTGCTTGATTTACTTAGTAGTAGTGGAATTAAACTTTTTGCTTTGCTTGAGACAAGAATAAAGAAGGAAAAGGCTGAGAAAATTAAAGAGAAGTTTAGTGGATTCCACATTGAGGATAATTATGATTGTCATCCCTGGGAAGAGTTTGGGTAGCATGGGATAAAGAAGTGAAGGGTTCTATTCTTTGCACATATGCAAATTTCATCCATGCACTCGTGTCAATTGCTCCGAAAGTGCAATTTTTCTTTACAGTGATTTATGCATCAAATGATGAGACTGAGCGAGCAGCAACTTATTCGAGACTAAGCAAATGGAGAGTCAGAAGTTTCCCATGGGTGGTATGTGGTGATTTTAATGCCATTATCAACCCATTTGAGGCATCTAATATGGTACCTGTTACTTCGAGCATGATGGCATTTAGAGAGTGGATCACAAAGATGGAGCTAATAGATCATCAGACATCGGGTTCATTTTTTACCTGGACTAATCAGCAGAGTGGGAATCCGATTGCGAGGAAACTTGACAGAATTCTGATCAATGAAGATTGGCTTGACAGTTTCCCAGATAGTGTGGCTGAATTTCTTAATCCTACGTTTTCAGGCCACTGTGGGATGCTTGTGAGACCTTGTCGCCCAAGGAAATCTTTCCCAAAGCCTTTTAGGTTTTTTGAGATGTGGATGCAGCACCCTTCCTATGATAGAACAGTAAATGATGTATGGAACCAGCAGCTTCATGGCCCAGTCTTGCAGGGAATAAAGAGGAAATACCAAATGTTGAATATTGAGCTCAAAAATTTAAACAGACAAGAATTCATGAATATTTCTGACAAAGTGAAGGAGGCTAGTACCAATCTGGGGCTGGCTCAGGCCCAAGCTCTAGAAGTTCCCAATGAAAGCACTTTTGAAAGGATGCATCTTCTCACTGAGGAGTTGCAGAGGTTAAGAAATGCAGAGGAAAGCTTCTACAGGCAGAAATCTTGCATTAATTGGCTCACTCTAGGTGAAATGAATTCTGGTTTCTTCCACAGGGCAATAAAGATCAGGCAGGCACGCAAGCAACTGAGAAGATTAATTAGTAACTCTGGAGTTGAAATCACAAATGAGGAGGAAATTGCAGAAGAGGCAGTGGGGTTTTACAAGCAATTGTATAGTGTTGTGAATGCAGAGGTTAAACCTGACTCAGCAATCATTGGTTCTTTTATTAGTAAGCAATTAAGTGATAGTAGTAAAGCAGTGCTATGTGGTGAGGTGTCAAACGAAGAAATTCGAGCTGCACTATTTGCTATGGATCCACTGAAGGCTCCTGGCCCGGATGGGTGGACAATAGGCTTTTATCAGAAGCATTGGAGCTTAATTGGTAATGACATCTGTCAGGGAGTTAATGAATTTTTCAGAACTAGAACTCTGCCTCGAGGTATGAATACTGCATCACTTACCCTTGCCCCCAAAACTCTGAATGCTGATAGAATGACTGCGTTTCGACCTATTGCCCGCATTAATGTGCTGTATAAGATCATTGCTAAAGTTTTAGCAAATAGGATTCAGATTGCACTCCCTGAAGTGATTAGTAGGAATCAATCCGCTTTTGTCAAAGGCAGGAGTATTCTGGATAACATTCTAATGGCGCAGGAGATGGTACAGAACTATAATAAAACTAAGATTTCATCTCGGTGTGCCATAAAAATTGATCTTCATAAGGCTTTTGACTCGGTTAACTGGGAGTACTTAATCTATGTGATGTTGCATATGGGATTCCCAGCTGAGTTTATTGAGCGGATAAAAGTCTGTCTTGGATCTGCATACTTCAGTATTAACTTGTATGGCTCGTTATTTGATTTCTTTCAAGCAAAGAAGGGGTTAAGGCAGGGAGACCCTCTCTCCCCATACATCTTCACTATAGCCATTGAGCCTCTCTCGGGCATGCTAGATTTTGCTGCCAGCTCTAAAAGAATTCCCTACCATCCTCAGTGTCGATCAATAGGTCTGACACACCTGTGCTTTGCTGAAGACCTATTGATTTTCACTGAGGGGTTAGCAGCTGCTCTGGTACAAATAAGAAGTTTATTGAATGAATTCTACTTGTTATCGGGGTTGAGTTGTAATCCTCAGAAGTGTGAGGTATTTTTTGGAGGGCAGGCACATCTATATAAGCAGAATGCTATTGAGTTGTCGGGTTTTGCAGAAGGGCATTCGGCTGTGAGATATCTAGGTCTCCCTCTATTTTCTGGCCGGCTATCTTCCAGGGAATGTGAAGTCTTAGTTGATAAGTTGACAAGTCGAATGCGTTCTTGGCAAGCTAGCAAGCTTACTTATGCAGGGAGACTTCAGCTAATTTCATCAGTGTTGTACTCTTTAGTGCAGTTCTGGATGAACATATTCATACTGCCTAAGAAAGTATTAGAACTTATTCGCAAGATCTGTTCGGATTTTCTATGGCATGGGGAAGGAACAGGCAGAGCAAAGGTTGCTTGGGACTTAGTTGCACTTCCTAAAAGAGAGGGCGGAATGGGTTTGAGGGATCTGGGAAGTTGGAACATGGCGTGTGTGGCAAGACTGTTGTGGCTTATTCTAATGAAGAGTGGGAGTTTCTGGGTAGCGTGGATACAGCAATATAGACTGAAAGGGAGGTCTATCTGGAATATCCCTCTTTCTCAGTCTGGTTCATGGATTTGGAGGAAACTACTCAGTTCTAGAAGTTGGTTCCAGTACAGGTTTGATATTGATGCAGAAGGTAGAGTGCTCTGGGAAGGGAAGCTGATGCCGAGGTTTTTGGTGCAGAAGGTATGGTTGTCTATCAGGCCGAAGAAAGCTAAGGTGGATTGGTGGAAACTAATCTGGAATAAATATGTGATCCCTAGAAACAGAGTTGTTTCTTGGTTAATCATAATGAACAGGGTCACGACGAGAGACAAGCTTAAGCAATGGGGGAAAATCTCTGACTCTTTGTGTGTTTTATGCAAGGCAGAGGATGAAACTCGTGATCACCTTTTCTGCACTTGTCCTTATGCTTTGGAATTCTTTGCAGCAGTTTTTGGCTTGCGCAGGTGGCCAAATGATTGGGAAGGCCTCATGAACTGGATCTGGCGAAGAAGCAATAAGGAAGGCAGCAAAGGTTTGGTTTGGAGTGCGATCTGGTGCTGGTGTGTAAGTGTTGTATGGAAGGAGAGATGCGCTCGGATGTATAGGGGAGAGCAGCGGTCGGTAGCAGAGACTACAAGAAGATGGGTTGCTGACTTCAATATGTTTGTCATGGGGAAGCCTGATTTTCGACTGGAAGTTCAGAAAATTCCCCACTTGAGTAACCTATTATATGCAGAGTAGGAAGTTTTTGAGAGTTATCTGTTGTTTTTGTAAGCAGAATAGTAGAGCGTGGCTCTTTGTTTTTTGAGGGTCCTGTTTTATCAGGCAGAGCTGAATAAAATATTCGATAATTACCGGGAAAAAAATATAATCATACCAATAAATCAAACTATTTTTACTATATTCTACATTGTTAACATAGAATAAAAGTTAGAAAATATAATAAAATATCAATACAATAAAACATCAATCGTTGAATTTATAATTCATATACCAACACATAATATTATAAATAATCAAAAGTCGTCGTCCAATTAATATCAACTAACAAGACATCAAACACA